GCCGCTCGGCCGGCCCTGTCTTAAACATTTTTAAGTGTACAGATCAGAGGTGTTAAGTATATTCACATTGTTGTGCAATGGATATCTAGAACTTTTTCATCATTCAAAACTGAAACTCTGTACCCATTGACCCCTAATTCTCCCTCTCTCTGCCCCTCAGCCCTTAGCAACCCACCTTTTTATTTTGTTTCTATGATTTTGACCACTTTAGATAGTTCATGTAAGTGGAATCATAAATAATATTTGTACATTTGTAACTGGCTTATTTTTCTTAGTATCATGCTCTCAAGGTTCATCCAAGTTGTAGCATGTGTCAGGATCTCTTTTTTGTTAATTTTTTACTGGGGAACAGTGTGTTTTTCCAGGATCCATCAGCTTCAAGTCAAGTAGTTGTTTCAATCTAGTTGTGGAGGGCGCATCTCAGTGGCCCATGTGGGGATCAAACGGCAACCTTGGTGTTATGAACACTGCGCTCTACCACATTGAGCTAACCGGCCGCCTCCAGGATCTCTTTTTTAAGGCTGCATAATATTCCAATGTATATATCATGTTTTCTTTATCATTCATCTGTCAATGGACATTTCCATTTAGCAGAAATAATTTTTAAATGAAGTTAGTGAAGTTGTAGCCAAAGGAAATTTAAGTTATATCAGAGTCAAAAACTTATCTTCGAGAACATAAGAATGAAACCCTCTTCATTACTATAATAATTATCTAAATCAGTGTCTTAATGGGTAACTGTTGGCATGTGGGCGAGACTGTTGCGCCAGACTTTTGAATTTTAGGATGTTTTGGTGGCTCCACCCCGAAAAGCCAACAGCATTCTTCACCCAACCAGAAATGCCTTCCACAGTTCCTGCCTCCTAGGGTATCTGGTACCATTCCTGGTATTAATTTTATTTCTGAGAAACCTTCAGTATAAAGCTATTTACTAGAACTTGTCATAAATATATATTTTCCTGATTAATGTTTTGGTTAAAAAATAGAGCCAATTTATGGACCTGTTGGTTTTTATATCAGTTAATTTCATGGAGTTACAATGATTGTTTGTCTCTATTGTTGAAACCAGAAAGGAAATTGCATGAATTTTTTTCTTTATTCCACAAGGACCCGTTAATTGTCAAGTGTTCCTGAACCTGTCAGTGACCACGTGGCTTAGTTGGTGTTGTTCATGTCCTAGCAGAGACAGTCACATGGTGCGTGGTCTGATGGTTCTTTTTTCCCAAACTTTCCCTCTGCTTCCCTCTCAGCACTCCTGTAGGAAGCATGTTGATGGCACTTCAGAGGTACTATGGTGAGACCGTTCAGGAGAGAAAACAGAAGGATCGAAAAGCACTCGAGGAGCTGAAACTGGAAGAATGGTAAGGAACAGGTTGAGACTAGGGTATTTGACTTTCCTAGCAGCAGGCCTTAGATAGTGGTGTTCTCTTAACCCAAGTACTCTAAACTGCCACTCAATTCAAAGAAGAGTTTATTTTTACTAAGTCCTTCAACTTGTACCCTACCTGGTCTTTTCATCTTTAGTTAAGTAGAATGGAAAAATGAAAGACACTAATTTTATTTTTATCCTGACGAGGATCTTTTCTTAGATACATTTTTTTTTAACCTTAAAGTGTAAATTTCATTTTGTTGCATATTTTTGCTTTTTCTATTTTTTTTTTAACTGCATATGGAAACTATGTAAAGAAAATGCACAGCAATCAGTGAACTTACTGGCTTTCTTGGAAAGGTGATACCCCGGTTTGCATGTACATCTATAAACAATACCAGACATGCTTTGACTCCACATTCAAAGCTTCTGCTTCTTGCTGTGGGTGCAGAGGAATTAGGTAGCTATAGTAGCTGTGCATGGACTGGAAGCCACTGAGGAGAATGAGAACTTGCACCTGTTCCATCTAGTCCTCCCCTGGGGTACAGTAGTCAGACTGATACCAGACTTCACGCTGATTCTTATTAAGATCAACATAATAGGCTGCCATCTAGCTTTCATGGTTCAGTTTCCTGGCTACCTAAAACGACATCTGCTGCAGCTGCTGCATTGGTAGTTGAGTAGATATGCAGTCATTTTATTCTAGGTTTTACTTGAAACGCCCATTTGTCTCACACAAACGCACACACGCACACACACACACACACACACACACACACATATGCGCGGAAATTCTTAGTATCTATAAATCTGCTTTCCAAGGATTTATGTGCTATAGAAAAAAAACACATTGATTTTGGAGCCCATGAAACCTTGAAAACAGGCTTAAACCCTAGCTAGACTATTAATTAGTTTTATGATCATAGATATTTTTCTTAACTTTAAGCCCTCAGTTTTCTCAGCCATTCTAAGGGCAGAAATCACACCACTATGCTCAGTATATGTTTGTTTCATTCCTTTCTCGTTTCTGTTCTAAGAGCATGGAGGAGATATGCAGATATGTAGGTTCTAGGAAAAAGTACTTAAAATTCTGAATTCCAGCATACATTTTAATATTATGGAGCATTAAAAGCATGAAAGCATTAGCTTATTTCTAGTTCTTAGGTATCATAAAAGACTTCTTTTTTTAAAGATAAGCTTTGAGAAAGGAGTTAACAAGGTAAGGAAATATATTGGCTATTGACTCTGATATAGGAAGTTATGGGAGAATTAACATTTGGAAAAATAAGAACAAATAATTTTATTTCAATAAAAAAAGGAAACCAGAAAAAGAAAACTAGAGAAAGTTGATCAGTTATTTAGAGATGGAAAAATCTCAAGAATGGGTAAAAATAAAAACAATTAATTATAGTAATGACAATACTTTGGAAGAAGGAAATAGTACCAAAAATGTATAGGATATAAATATATATATGTGATGTTTCTAAGGAGAGTTAATAGTTAAGAACCTTGTATCTGTCTGCCTCTTTCCTTGAAAATAACTAACTATAGGGAAATCAAAGTGAGAGTCTAAAATATTGTCTTAGTGAACAGAAAACATAGAATACTGGCTATAGAGATATGGAAGAAGAAACGGTCACATCTGGTTATAAAGAGTTGAGAAGAACGTCATAGGTGATTCTGATAATCACTTAAAGAAAGGAAGACAGTAACACTTGATTTAGAAAAAAGAACAGTATTTAGAAATTAGATTTTAAATCCTTCTAAATATACATCTATAGTGTTGTCTTCTTTGATTTTTTTTTTTGTACCGAGATTATCATTGTTATAGCCTCTGTGAGGTTCCTACAAGGTCTAGCAACAGAGTTTAACAGAGTGGCAGGGGTTTCACATCCCCTGGACCCTGAGTGCATGAGGGCAGCCAGGGTACAGGGATCACACCTTAGCTCAGGGAATTTCAGCTCCTGTTTGTCACCCCTGCAAGGACTCTGAAATATGGTATGGATCAGAGCTGCTGCCACAGCAATGTCCATTTTGGTACTATCAGAGTTCTAGTTGGCTTGTGAGTGAGACAGGTTAGGAGAGAGAAGAAAGTCATTGTCTTTGAAGTGCAAAGAGCAGTGTTTGCTCATAAGTTGCAGAGAGAATAAGACAAATGCTACTTAAAAAAAAAATCTAAGAACTAAAGAAACAGAGCAGTACGTGATATATCCTTTTTGTTCTTTGATTACAGGAAAGCCAGACTACAATTTACTGAGCTGCTTCCTGAAGAAATTGAAAGTAGCCTACAGAAAAATCGATCCACGGATGATGCTAAGAAAATTGAAGCACTACTAAATCTTCCTAGAAACCCCTCATCAACAGATAAGCAAGACAAGAACTGAAAATGTTCTGGACTTGAAACTCATTGGAGAATTGAAGCGGGGCTATGTTGCCATGTCTATTGAATGCCCCAGTAGCCAGGCTGCTCCTTGGTTAGCCTGCTGACAGTTGTAAGCACTGGCACCTGTAGTGGCAGTGACTTGCTAGCATCCTTTTTTTAAACCAAGAATTGGGCCATTGTACTCTCACTTTACTTATTTTTAAATTTAAATACATACTTATATCTATATTGATCAGTCTGTATATTTGACATTATATCTATATTCACACACACACACACACACACACACACACACACACACACACACACACACTGAGGTCGGACAATTAAGTTCGTGAACTTGTTGCCATGATGCTGCTAACCTTTTTTGATATCAGAGGGATTGATTATTCATTATGAATTTGTACCAACTGGACAAACAGTTAACCAAGTTTACTATTTGGAAGTGCTGAAAAGGCTGCATGTAAAAATTAGACGACCTGAAATTTCACCAATAATTCATGGCTCTTGCATCACAACAATGCACCAGCTCACACAGCACTGTCTGTGAGGGAGTTTTTAGCCAGCAAACAAATAACTGTATTGGAACACCCTCCCTACTCACCTGATCTGGCCCCAGTGACTTCTTTCTTTACTTGAAGATAAAAGAAGTATTGAAAGGAAAACATTTTGATGACATTCAGGACATCAAGGGTAATAGGACGACAGCTCTGATGGCCATTCCAGAAAAAGAGTTCCAAAATTGCTGTCAAGGGTGGACTAGGCATTGGCGTTGGTGCAGTTTCCCAAGGGGAGTACTTCGAAGGTGACCCTAGTGATATTCAGCAATGAGTTATGTAGCACTTTTTCTAGGGTGAGTTCAAGAACTTAATTGTCCGACCTCATATATTTTTCTGGATTTTACAATAGTAAATTAAAATTTTCACTAAAGATTAGAGTTGAATTCTACAGGTTGTATATGTATTCTTGTAGCCCTTTAAAGGGGTACTCTAGGGCAGGCCGAGTGGTGCATTGGTTAAGAGCTGGCTTGGGACGCCAGAGGGCCC